AATTGAGGGGGTCTGGTCAGACCTACACGCTCTGCTTGAGACTGTGTTCCTGTCCTTAAATAAACCTTCTGCTTTACTGGCTGGTTGAGAGTCGCAGTGAATCTCGGGAAGAGGGGTGCAGGGCCCTGACTCCCCCACACTCCGCAACACAGGGGCCCCGGCCAGTTGGGGGCCCCCAGGAAAATGGGTGCAGGAGCGCGGGGTGGGCGGAGCGGGTTGGGGCATGGGGGCTGGCAGGTGCTGGAGCGGGACAGGGGCTGGCGCAGGGGCCGGAGCTGGGCCGGGCTGTGGAGTGGGGCTGGCTGCTAATGGGTGGGTCGCGGCCCATCTGTGGCTACGCCCCGTCCCGTCCCCTGCAGGGCCAGCCGGGGGTGGGGGGTGAGGGGGGAAGGCAGCAGCCCGGGGGACCTGCTGGCCCAGGAAAGGGACAAAGACCGAGAGGGGGCTGGGGGGGGGGGGGGAACTGGTCAGTCGGGGACTTTGCTGCAGGTCCCTGGTCTCACAAGCTCTGTTCTACGCTGGGTCCCCACGTCGGGGTCACTCACTGCCTGGGAGTCGCTGCGGGGGGGCAGGGCCCTTTGGGGGTACGTGAGGCTCCCCAGGGGCCCCATCCAGGGGGACTCGCTGTGGGGGGGCCCAGGGTGAGCAGGGGGCCGAATGCTCCGAGGTCGGATCCAGGAGGCTCCTGGCCCTGGTGGGAGCCCTGCAGGGAGACGCTGCCCCAGAGCCCTGCCTGGCTTCACCTGGAGCCGTGCCAGAGCCCCCAGCCTGGGACCCCGGGACACCCCCAACCCTGTGCCATGCCCAGGACCCCAGGGGGCCCGAGCCCCCTCGCTGGCAGTACCCACCTGACGCGGCCTCCACGGTGAGGGGCTGGGCGCGGCCCTGCCCGCAGAAGGCGCCGATGAGGGTCCGGTCGGCCTGGATCTCCCCGCTGTCCAGGAAGGCCGGCAGCCCGTCGAAGGCGTAGGCATAACTGTGCTGGGGGGCAGGCGGAGATGGGACCCCTGGCCTGACTGCTCCCCCCCCCAGCACCCCACCGGGCCCGGGCCCTGCTCCTGCCCCCGGCCCTGCTCCCCCCAGCGGAATGGGCCCTGCTTTCCCCACCACCACCCCAGCACCCCCTCCCCGGCCTGGGTCCTGCTCCCCACCTCCACGACACCCAGCCCGGGCTCTGCTCTCCCCCCAGCACACCCCCCCCACCCTGCTCTCCACCCCCCACGGCCCGGGTCCTGCTCTCCCCGCCCCCGGCACCCAGCCGGGCCCTGCTCCCCCGGCCCCTGGCACCCGGCCGGGCCCTGCTCTCCGCATAACAGCTGCCACCACAGACCCGGAGCCTGGTACCCCCCGAGAACCTCCCATAGCACCCAAACTGGACCCCACTCTGCCCCCCATGGTCAGACCCTGCTCCACCCCCCAGCGCTGCCTCCCCACAGCATCCAGCACGGACCCTGCACCCCCCAACGCCCCCCAGCCAGCACCACTCACCATGCAGGGGGTGCTGAGGTCGGGCTGCAGGGTCAGGCTGATGGCGGGGCAGGGGTGGGCAGGGGGGCAGGGCTCCAGGCCGGGCGAGGCCGACAGCACCCACAGGCAGTGGGCCAGGTCCCCGGGCACCCCCCCTGCCCGCCGGGAGCCCAGGGACCCCGAACCCGAGAGGTTGGCCAGCAGCGAGCGCCCCTCGCACGCCCGGTAGCAGGTGCCCATGTTCCTGGGGGGGAGAGAGCGTCAGCGCCGGGGGGGCCCCACACAGGGGTGGGGGGGATCAGGGTGTGCAATGGTCGCAGAGACCCCTAGAGGGCAGGTGTGATGCCCACGGGCTGCAGAGACCGGCTGACACTGATGGCCCCCACCTCCCCCCAAGGTGGGGGAGAACAGAGACCAGGTCACCAGGGGCCAGGCAGCTGGAAGCGGGTCAGTCTCCTGGTTTGGGTCTCGGGGGGAGCCCAGGGCTCTGGATAACCCCCCCGCCCCCTCGATGGACTTTGCTGCAGGTCCCTGTGCTCACAAGCTCTGTTCTATGCTGGGTCCCCACGACTAATAACCCGCCGGGGTCACTCGCTGGCTGGGAGTCGCTGCTGGCTGCGGCGGGGGGGGGGGGGGGCTCTTTGGGGTGTATGAGGCTCCCCAGGGGTCCCAGTCAGGGGGCTGAACGCTCCGAGGTTCGACCCAGGAGCCCGCGAAGCCGAGCAGGTTCCTCGCCCTGGTGACAGGTGCCCTGCGGAGAGACGCTGCCCCAGAGCCCTGCTAGAGCCCCCAGTCTGGGACCCCGGGACAGGGGGTCTCTGGGGGCCAGGAGGAATGTGGGGATTTCAGGGGTGGGGTCTCACCTGGGGTCCCCACAGAACCTGACAGCGCAGCGCTCGCAGTGCAGCCCCTCAGCAGGGAGTTGGGGTGTCTGGGGAGCAGGAGGAAGGAGGCGTCTCGGGGGGGAGTTGGGGTGTCTGGGGGGCAGGAGGAAGGAGGCGTCTCGGGGGGAGTTGGGGTGTCTGGGGGCAGGAGGAAGGAGGCATCTCGGGGAGAGTTGGGGTGTCGTGGGGAGCAGGAGGAAGGAGGCGTCTCTGGGGGGGAGTTGGAGTGTCTGGGGGGGCAGGAGGAAGGAGGCGTCGTCGGGGGGAGTTGGGGTGCCGTGGGGGGGCAGGGGGGAAGGAGGCGTCGTCGGGGGGGAGTTGGG